CCCTTGGTGTTGCCCCCGCGCCTCGCTCAGCCAGTGAGCGGGAACCGGTCTGTATGTGGGATCCGAACCCTTGGCGGGAGCGCCTCCGCACTTCCCAAGCGGCGCACTAGCGCAGTGCGCCACCGGGCCGGCCCAATTGAAACTTTTAAGTACACAAGAGACATTTGTGAAAATTAACTATGCAGTGAGCCATAAAGCAAACTCAACAAATATCAAAGGACTTGTATCATATGGACTATTTTTTCTGACTACAGTGCAGTAAAGTGCAGAAATCAATGATATGAGGATAACTTGAAGATCTCTCTATATGCCTGGAAATTGAAAACACATTTCCAAACAACTCATAAGTCAGTGTAAAATCACATTAAAATATTTTGAACTAGATAATAAAATCGAAACTTACAGGATAACTCTAAAGGGAAACTTAGGGGGAAATTTATAGTCTTAAATGACTGCAGTGGATTAAAAACTTAAAAATTAATGATCTAAGTGTCTCTTAAATAGACAAGATAAATGCAGTGAGGAAAGAAAAGAAATTAAAAAGGAAAAAAAAAAAAAAACCCAGCATATACAAACCTGGTGAAACTAGTCAAAGAAAAAAGAGAAGGCACAAATAAATATTACAACTATTAAAGACACGAAGAAATTATTAACATCTTTATGCCAATACATTTTAAATTTTAAATGAAATGGATAATTCCTAGAAAAATATAACAATCAAAATGACTCAAGAAAAGAAAGACCTTGAATAGCCTTAGAACTACTTAAGATTTGTTGTTGATTTTTAAACATTTCCACCACAAAACTAAACCACCAGGTCTCGATTGGTTTACAGGCTGAGTGCATAGATAATTCCTGTTGTATGTAAAATCTTCTGGAGAAAAAGAGACACTTGTCAACTTATGAGGGTAGTTTAACTTTGTTAGTAAAAACCAGACGGAGTTTACAAGAAAGGGAAAATCATAGGACATTCACACTGATAAATATAGATGCAAAAATACTGAACAAAATAATCAGCAAACTGAATTAATTAACCATATAGAAAAGATAATACTTCATGACCAATAAATACAAGTCTCAATTAACATTAGGAAATTGATAAATATAATTAATGGCATTAGCAGATTAAAGGAGGAAAAACATGATTACCTCAAAAGATGGAGAAACAGGATTCAACAAAACCCAGTGTCCATTTATGATGTTGCATCTTGGCAAACTGGGAACTTAGTTAACTCAGATAAAGAATATTTTCAAAAAACCTACAGCAAATATCATACTCAATGGTAAACTTTTTTTTTTGGTGGCTGGCTGGTATAGGGATCGAATCCTGGATCTTGCTGTTATCAGCACCACACTCTAACCAACTGAGTTGACCAGCCAGCCCTCAATGGTAAACTGTTATAGGTTGAGTATCCTTAATCTGAAAATCTGAAATCCTAAATGTTGCAAAATCTGAAACCTATTGAGTGCCAGCATGACGCAGCAAGTGGACAATTCCACACCTGACCTCACATAACAGGTCGCAGTCAAAACACAAGTGCACAACACAGTTTATTCAGTGTCCCCAAGGGAAAAAAAAGGCCCTCCTATGGCACAGAAAGTTCAGCTGTTGGAGAAACTGGACAGCAGTCTAAGTGTGAAACGTCATATAGAAGAGTATGGTGTTGGAATGACCATCGTATATGACCTGAAGAAATGGAGGGGTAAACTGTTGAAGTTCTGCGCTGAAAGTGATGAACAGAGTGAATAAAAAATAGAAAAACACTGCATAGAGCCAAAAATAAAGGTCTCAATTGTATATTGAAAGAGTGGCATTGAAGTGAACACATTCCACCTAATGTCATGCTGATCATGAAACAAGCAAAGATCCATCACAGTGAACTGAAGATTGAAGAGAACTGTGAACATTCAACAGGCTGGTTGCAGAAATTTAAGAGAAGACATGGCATTACATTTTTAAAGATTTGTGGTTATAAAGCATCTGCTGATCATGAAGCAGCAGAGAAATCCATTGACAAGTTTGCCAGAGTTATATTGCTGATGAAAATCTAATAGCCTGAACTATAAGTCTATAATGCTTATGAAACATCACTGTTTTGGTGTCATTGCTGCAGAAAGACACTGACAACTGCTGATGAGACATCCCCTGTAGGAATTAAGGATGCCAAGGACAGCCTAACTGTGCTGGGATGTGCTAATGTGGCAGGAATGTGCTGTGATAGGCAGAAGCTTGTGTCCTTTCTGTTTTCAAGGAGTGAATTTTTTATCAGTCTTTTATTTTGCTAACAAAACGTCATGGATCACCAGGGACATCTTTTCTGATTGGTTTCACAAACATTTTGTACCAGAAGTTCAAGCTTACTGCAGGAGAGCTGGAAAAAGTACTTTCCCGAACAGCATGCTAGCAGCAGTGAACAAAGGCATAGGTGTGGGTTTTGTTAAGGAGTTTAGCATGAAAGATACTGTTTACGCTGTTGCCAACTCTTGGCACAGTTGTGCATGCCAGGCACAGCCTCTGGCCTGCGACTATGTTCAGTGATGATAATGAACAAGGTGGTAACTTTGAAGAGTTTTGAATGCCAAGTGAGAAAAAAAATGGCTGACCCCTCACACATGCAAAAAATATACCTTCAGAGTCCATCAGTAAGCTGGATGAAGTGGATATTGAAGACTTTTTTACATCAATAATGAGGCTTCAGTTTTCCATTCATTGACCAATGGTAAATAGTTGAGATGGTTCTGAATCAGGGTGATCTATCGTGATAATAGTGATGATGAAGATGATGATGTTAACTGCAGAAAACGTGCCTTTGGTGGACAACATGGTGAAAATGTGTGGTGGACTACTGAAGGACTAGAACAGTATGCATTCATAACAGAACAAGACATCATGTCATTTTATAAAATCGAGAGAGAGACTTCTAAGACCGAAACTGTTGTTGATGAGGCAGATGACTCTGGAGGAACATTTTTAAAAGCCACTCAGCAGAATGCCTCTTTATCCCTAGAGGACCCACTTCCTAGTCCCTCAGCTGCTTCTGATGTTTATTCTCATATAAAAAAATAAAATACAGTGCACAGAAACCTTTTAATAAAAACAGCATTGTAGGTGGAGACTGAAAACCTGCAGTTTGTTGTTGCTGTCGTTTAACAGCTGATGCAGGTATTCTGATGGTACTACTGTGCTGCTTAGTTACCCTGAACACATTTTTTTTGCTATATTAATAGTATGTCATATTTTTTACTGTTAAGTACATATGTATGAATAAGTGTAAGAAAATGATTTCTTTTCAGTAGCATATAAATTATTTTGTTTTATTTTGATGGCTCACCAGTATGGGGATTTGAACCTTTGACATCCATATTATCAGCACTGCACTCTAACCATCTGAAGTAACTGGCCAGCCTGGTAACATGTAAATTCAGAATCAGGAATGATGGTGATTCTAAACAACCACGAATTGTCCTTGTAGGTGACTGAGATAGTGATACTTTTTTGCTTTCTGATGTTTCGATGTATACAAAATTTGTTTCATGCACAAAATTATTAAAAATACAATATAAAATTACCTTCAGGCTATGTGTATAAGGTGTATATGAAACATAAATGAATTTTGTGTTTAGACTTGGGTTCCCTCCCCAAGATATCTCATTATGTATATGCAAATATTCCAAAATCTGAAAAAATTTGAAATCTGAAGCACTGCTGGTCCCAAGCATTTTGGTTAAAGGATACTCAATTAGTAAAAACCTTTTCTTTAGGATCAGGAACAAGACAAGAGATGCCTGGTATTACTACTACTATTGAACATGGCACTTGGAGATACTGACTAATGTAATCAGATAAGAAAAATACAAGGATTAGAAAAGAAGAAACAAAATGTTGATATGAAACAAGTTGTTGATATGATTAACAGATTATATGATTGTCTACATAGAAAAATCTAAAATAATTTTTGATAAAGTTTTAGGACTAATAAGAGAGCTTAGTAAGGTTATTGAATGCAGAATCAATACACAGAAGTCAGTTGTTTTTGTGTGACAGCCACAAACTTAGAAAACATGATTTCTAAAAAGATATATTTACTATATCAATAAAAATATGACATAATTAATCAAACAAAAGACATGCTAGCCCTTCATGAAGACTTATGACAAACTTTATTGAAGACATGAAAGGAGAACTAAGTAACTAAAGCAGTATACCATGCTCACACATAGGAAGGCTCTATGTTAGAAAGATGTCACTTCTCCCCAACTTATCTGTAGATGTTGTAATTAAAATCCCAACAGGGTTTATGAAGTTCATAGGCTGGTTCTTATGTATGGAAGAGCAAAAGGCCGAGACTGGACAGGAACATTCCTGAAAAACTAGGTTCGGCAATGTGGCTCCCTGCATTACTAAGGATAACCAGAGGCATAGATGAACGTGTAGAAGGCCAGGGTCATACTTCCCACCAGAATCTTAGGAAGGGAGCCACATACATTAAAATAAAGACAGGGCCCATAAAGGGGAGGGCTAAAGATGATAGTTTTACCATGGTCAGGACTTAGGGAATGGCTTATTTGGGCTTTTAAAAGGCAGGAAACCAGATGCAGCCTTCTTACCAGCACTGAGTAGGCACCAGAAGGGCCCAAAGTTCTAGCACCCTGAAACCTGAATGAAATCAACTCAAAAGCCAGAGGTTCTCTAACCCAGGAATAAAAACATGCCGTTTATTTCCACCTCAGCTACCCACTTGGCTGGGAAAACAAATTTGATTTTTTTTTCTCTTTAATTGCAGACTAGTAATAAGAAAACAAACTTTAAGAAAAGGCCTTTAGACCAAAAAAATGTTTTAGAAAGAAAAAATGATTAACTGCAAATACTTTGGTTAGGTGATAGATCTGTTAAATATTGCTGAAATTTTAATCTTGTTTTAAGTAGAAGTTAATTGTTAAATTTTTGAAGGAAAAGAGAATTCAGGTTTCTTTTTCTTTTTCTTTTTTTTCTCCTCTAGGTATATACCTCCAGATAAGAGGGAAGAAAATGACCAGTCAACCCATAAGTGGATGGTATATGTCCGAGGGTCCCGTAGAGAACCCAGCATTAATCATTTTGTCAAGAAAGTTTGGTTCTTCCTTCATCCCAGCTATAAACCAAATGACCTTGTGGAAGTTAGGTAAGCACACTCGAATTATTGAACCTAAGAAGTACGGATTTATTGAAGTGGAAGAAAAGTAATTTAACTTCAGAACAGTCCCTGGAAATTCCTGTATTATTAATAATTTACTCATCATTGGCTCTTAGTCACAAAGTAGTTTTAGCTGTGGTTCCCTCTTGCAGATTACTGTCTCACTGTCAGATTGTTACCATATTAATTGTATATGCTGATTTTGCTCCCCTCTGGAAACAGCTAACCTTGTTTATATACATACAGATGCATATAAAAATGTTACTTTTTTTTATGAATATCAGCATATAACAGAATTAAAAATAAGATTCTAACATTACAGAAATATTTAATGTTGAAAGTTCCTCATGATCTTACCCTCTCATAAGTAACCCCTAATGATATTTTTTCTATGTATATACTAACCTAGTATAGTTGTTATTCCACAAAGATGAAATGATAATATATAAACTATTGTGAAATTTGCTTTTATTATTTATATGTATTCTTCACATCTTCATATGATATTACCCATCATATACACATTCATTGTATAAATGTACTGTGGAAGTGGTTGTGGGTTATTGTCAGTGAAATCTGTATCCTCTGCTTTGTTCAGAAAGTTCCCTTGGGCCGGCCTGTGGCTCACTCGGGAGAGTGTGGCACTGATAGCACCAAGGCCACGGGTTCGGATCCCATATAGGGATGGCCGGTTTGCTCACTGGGTGAGCGTGGTGCTGACAGAATGTTCCCTTTACTCCTGACTCTTAAACAAAACATGACTCTCCCAAGAACTTTGTTTCTTCTGTAGCCCTTTCACGTGGCAGCCAGTTTTTTCTCCCACGTGTCATACACCATTGTCGGGGGGTGGGATTGGTGTCTTCCTTGATCATATTTGTGGCTTCTAGACCACCTTTCCCCCTTCTCCCTAAAAAAGCTCAACTCCTCTGAAACCCCGTGTGACTGCTGCTCTTCCTTTGTTGCAGTTACCTACTAATTTCTGACATCACTCCCCTCTTTACTGATTTTCTCTCTGCCAGTACCCTTGCCGTCATTAGGACTTTGAATGCATATGGACAGTTCATCCAAAGTCTTGGTCTCTTGCTTCACTGATTTCTTCACTTTAATGATTAGGTTATTGTAGTGATGTACCACAGAATCTAAGCTGAGTAAGGAGAGAAGTGAACTGCATAAGAGCAGTGACAGTGAAAATTTGTGTGGGCAAGAAATGGAAGTCCCAGTGTAGTCAAAGAGAATAGTTCGATTAGGAATGGAGCTGGAAAGATAGGGGTTGCTGGTCAGAAAGTGAAATCCTTAGGAAGGAGATTTTTATAGGTGGTACAGTATGTTTATATTCTTCATATGGGTAATAATTATCCCACTTAGTTGATATCTCCTTTTCCTACATCTAATACCCCCTAAATTCCTACATAAACATGGACCCAGTTCTATACTCTATTAATAATATTTATTTCTGTAACAGTATTATACTATTTTAATTGTTTTGCTTTATAATAAATTCTGATATCTGATAGAGTATATTCCCCTCATTAATATTCAAAAATTTTTTCTTGACCATTCTTGAGTATATAAAGGTGTCTTCAAAAAAGTTCATGGAAAAGTTTATATTACCTTTTAATTCCATTTTTCCATACACTTACTTGTTAGTTTTTTGGTTTTTGGTGGCTGATTGGTATGGGGATCCGAACCCTTGACCTTGGTGTTATAACACTGCACTCACTGTAGGGCTGACCGGTTAGCTCACTTGGGAGAGTGTGGTGCTGACAACACCATGCTGTAACAAACTGAGCTAAGTGACCAGCCCCCAGTTTTTCCACACTTTCTGAAGTACTCTCGTATGTTTTTTCCAGATTGTTTTACAATCGAATTGTCAAGTTACAGATTGGAACTTTGCTGAAGTAATTATTAATTTTCACATTTTTTAATGATATTGAATCTTCCTCCTGTCTATCCAAGAGAATCAGTGTAGTCATTTTCTAATGCAAATGAAATTTTTTTCTTTTATTTCTTTTTAAAAGATGACCGGTAAGGGTATCTTAACCCTTGACTTGGTGTTGTCAGCACCACGCTCAGCCAGGGAGCTAACCGGCCATCCCTATGTAGGATCCAAACATGTGGCCTTGGTGTCATCAGCACCACACTCTCCCAAGTGAGCCACAGACCGGCCCTGAAATTTTTTCTTTTGTTAATTTATAAAACTTCCTTCATTGTCTTGACATATTTCACTGGATAGAGCCTCAGAAAATTGTTGATATCCTGTTTATTCTAATAGTATAGTTTAATAATGGGGCAGTTTTATTCTTTTCTTATTGAAACATAGTTGCTTGTACATATCTGTGGCATACAGCATTGAATATCAATACCTGTGTGCAATATGTGATGCTCAAATCAGGATAATTCGTATATTCAGTATTACACAATGTAATCATTTTTTGTGACCCTGCAGTTTTATTCTTAGGCTCTCAAACATTGGTGTTGAAAAGACCTTGTCTGTGATTTGGTTTAAATGTATACCTGATGCATGAAATACCTTTCAGAAATATCATAGCTAGCTCAGATCAGCCTCTCCTACAAAACCACTAGTGACCTAGACTTGTTTTCTCTGCCTGGAATACGGTCTTCCTTCCTATAGTCTGTCTTTATACACACGCATGTGTACACACACACAGTATGTGGCCATCTTTCTGAACATCTGTCCTTTCATCCTTCAAGACGTAACTCAAGGGGCTGGCCCCTGGCTCACTTGGGAGAGTGTGGTGCTAGTAACACCAAGGCCATGTTCTAAGCCCTTTATAGCTATTAACTTATCTAATGTTTACCACCGAACTGTGAAATATCCCCTCTGAGACACAGTGAGGCTGAATAACTAACTTGACAAGGTTACACGACAAATAAGTGGTAGAAAAAGGATTAAAACTCAAACAATAGGTTCCAAGGGCCGTGCATTAGCCACTGTGCTTGTCCATGTCCCCTTCCACTCTCCAGATGCACAGAGTATGGCTAGATATTGTCAGACTGCTACAGAGCATGGCAAGTTTACTTGACTTCTAAAAAAGCAACCTAAAATTGCATTACCATGCTAAGTAATTTTGTTTTTACTTTTTGGTTTTTACTTTTCTAATGTGGCTACTAGAAAATTTACAACTACACATGTGGCTTGTCATATATTGGACAGTGCTGCTCTAGAGGGTTCCTACATTTGAGCTAAATGAAACAGATGCAAAAATGTTTTGAAGAGGCTCACTAGGATGTTTTCTGGGCATCTAGCCCACTCTAGTCTCACATGTACCCATGGCAAAAATACTCCACTAGACTTCTCAAAGGCACAGGCCATGTGTTCTTCATCTTTGCAATCCCTGTATCAAGCCTGTATCAACATATTTATTGACTGTCTTGTGCCTAAAAGCAAAGTCTATGATTACAGCTTTTAGGAAGCTGGCTTGGAATTTGGGGTTAGTCTTACTTCTGTATCAAAGCACAGACATGTTTCTCACGCACCCTGAATCTCCTCATCACAGCCCATTCATTACCTGATAAAGAGAATAGGTCGATTGTGCTGTAGAAGCATCTTTTTCGTATTTGGTTCAACTGTCATGACCACCCTTAGCCAGCTTCCTAAAAGCTGTAATCATAGACTTTGCTTTTAGGCACAAGACAGTCAATAAATATGTTGATACAGGCTTGATACAGGGATTGCAAAGATGAAGAACACATGGCCTGTGCCTTTGAGAAGTCTAGTGGAGTATTTTTGCCATGGGTACATGTGAGACTAGAGTGGGCTAGATGCCCAGAAAACATCCTAGTGAGCCTCTTCAAAACATTTTTGCATCTGTTTCATTTAGCTCAAATGTAGGAACCCTCTAGAGCAGCACTGTCCAATATATGACAAGCCACATGTGTAGTTGTAAATTTTCTAGTAGCCACATTTAAAAGAGATCCTTGCTTATGTGCTTCTGTTGTTTAAAACTGCTGGAGAAATCATTTGCTGTGATCAACGACACCTCTGTTTTTATAGCAAGTGATGTAAAAGCGTACTTCAAAAAGTTCATGGAAAAATAGAATTAAAAGATAGTACAGCTCTTTTCATGAGCTTTTTTTTTGGGGGGGTGGCAGCTGGCTGGTATGGAGATCCAAACCCTTGACCTTGGTGTTACAACACAGCTCTAACCAATTGTGCTAACCAGCTAGCCCTGTATAAACTTTTTGATGTACCCTCATATATAAGTTTATTCTTACATTTACTAATTTATGTAGATGTCTCCCTTTCTAGACTTAGAGCTTCTTGATGTTTGGGACCTTGTCTTACTTGTCTTAATATCCCCAGGGTTTAGCATAGTTCCTAGCAGGTAGGAAGTGCTCATTTCATGTTTGACGTTGAGTGAATTATTGAATTAAAGAGTTGGGCCATTCCATTTGTGTCTGTGTTTGTTTGGAAGTTTTTAATCATATTAAGCAGAGATCTAACTTCTAAACAATAAACTTTCATATCCCTAGTAACACCACACAGAATCATTATAATCCCTTTTCCATGTAGCAGTTGTTGAGATATTTGAAAGCAAGCTATTGGGTCTCTTCCCATCTTCTCCAGGATGCAAATCTACATTTGTTTCAGTTGACAGTTATCTGACTTTGATTGGTGTTCCTATGCTGTCCAGGCTGTATTCCTTGACACACTCCAATTTATCTATATTCCTCTTAAAATATTATTTTTAGAACTGAACTTAAAACTCCAGATATAATAATGTAACCAATGTAAAGTAGGATAGTACTATTGACATGTGTCCTAGTTTTAATTATAACTCTTTATGATCTTTGCAGGACTCTTAAGATATTTCTTCTGTCAGGTATCTAAAGTAATTTGATGAACAGGGGAGGGCTTTTCCAGCTGCCTTGGAATTTGGGGTTAGTCTTACTTCTGTATCAAAGCACAGACATGTTTCTCACGCACCCTGAATCTCCTCATCACAGCCCATTCATTACCTGATAAAGAGAATAGGTCGATTGTGCTGTAGAAGCATCTTTTTCGTATTTGGTTCAACTGTCATGACCACCCTTAGCCAGCTTCCTAAAAGCTGTAATCATAGACTTTGCTTTTAGGCACAAGACAGTCAATAAATATGTTGATACAGGCTTGATACAGGGATTGCAAAGATGAAGAACACATGGCCTGTGCCTTTGAGAAGTCTAGTGGAGTATTTTTGCCATGGGTACATGTGAGACTAGAGTGGGCTAGATGCCCAGAAAACATCCTAGTGAGCCTCTTCAAAACATTTTTGCATCTGTTTCATTTAGCTCAAATGTAGGAACCCTCTAGAGCAGCACTGTCCAATATATGACAAGCCACATGTGTAGTTGTAAATTTTCTAGTAACCACATTAGAAAAGTAAAAACCAAAAAGTAAAAACAAAATTACTTAGCATGGTAATGCAATTTTAGGTTGCTTTTTTAGAAGTCAAGTAAACTTGCCATGCTCTGTAGCAGTCTGACAATATCTAGCCATACTCTGTGCATCTGGAGAGTGGAAGGGGACATGGACAAGCACAGTGGCTAATGCACGGCCCTTGGAACCTATTGTTTGAGTTTTAATCCTTTTTCTACCACTTATTTGTCGTGTAACCTTGTCAAGTTAGTTATTCAGCCTCACTGTGTCTCAGAGGGGATATTTCACAGTTCGGTGGTAAACATTAGATAAGTTAATAGCTATAAAGGGCTTAGAACAGTGGTTGGGTCATAGGAAACGCTGTAAGTGTTTGCTGCTGCTGCTACTGCTACTGCTGTGAGGAAACGGTGGTAAACATTAGATAAGTTAATAGCTATAAAGGGCTTAGAACAGTGGTTGGGTCATAGAAAACGCTGTAAGTGTTTGCTGCTGCTGCTACTGCTACTGCTGTGAGGAAAAGAGGTATTCATCCTGAAAAGACTCTGGAATGTTTTAGCTCTTTCATGTGGAGGAGGAATTTATTCTTTGTGATTCCAAATGGCATATCTAGAACTAACATGCAGGGGGTAGAGGAAATATTTTTATAATAGAGCTATACAGAAATGTAATGAAGAGTCTCATTAAGTAGTGAGTTCTGGGTCACTAGGCATAATCCTGAAAGACTGGTTAGCCGTTTAAATTAATTAGTAGTTGAGCAAGGAGTGATACTCCATTCTGTATTTCTGATAAAGGCTTTTTTTGTTTGTTTTTAAAACCCTGTATTCTTGTGGTTTTTCCTTCTTGGTTATTGATATATTTCATCTTCTGTATGGATTCTAGAAATATAGAAGTCTGTTTAGGGGAGACAGTCATTTTTTTGGGTGAAATAACATATCTTTTGAAGTATAAAATTTCCATAGTTAATGTCTTGTCTGTTGATAGGTCTTAGATTCCTTTTTTGGTTCCAAAAATGTGGCTATGAAGGAATTTCCTATTAGAAAGCATTGTTTCTTTTTCCTGGATTTATGCTATTTGTCTGTGTCTTCCCTGGCAGCAGCCCTTCCTGTCTGTTCACTAAAGGTTAGCCTTTAGTACATAAATTGAGGAACATATTTCATTTATTATATTCATTGTGAGAGAAATTCAATATGCAAGCAGTGTAATTGAGGCATTGCAAAATGAGTTCAGACCATCCATTTAGCTTTACTGAAATTTAAGTGACCAAACTTGCCATCAGTAGAATTTCCATTAATTACTCATCTTAATTCCACCATGTCTCTCTAGGCTCCACTTTATCTCTGGCCTTAGATCCCTTTTCAAACTGCTGTCTCAAGTCTACCTTCTCATTTGACCCCAAGCCTAAATCTATACCAACATCATGACTACTTCTCTTACCTCAGCTGGTATTCAGCTGGTTTCTTCTGCCCAGAGTAATCTAGTTTCCTTTCCTTCCTTTTCTCTCTGGTTTAGAACATATTTATTTGTTCATTTCTCTGCTTTCTAGGCTACTCTCATACTCAGGGTTTTTTCCTGTCTTGGGCTCTGCTGATAGCTCCTGGCTCTATGCTTAAGTCACATCTGTTAGATTCTTCTCGGTGTGTTCTTGGACTCTGCCCATACTGAGTTTATGTCTTTTCTTAGTTTTCCAAAAGCACATCCTGTTGAAAGTTCCTATCTCCCTGCAAGTTTGGCATCTTCTCTCATTATAGTAATTCTAAGCCAGGGATTCATAGCAAACATTTTCATTTTAAAGTTTTTCTCTCTCTTCCCCATTAACAAACCATATTGTTTTGAGTACTTAAAGATCTCTCAATTAAATTTATAAAATTGTTATTATGGAAAATTTCAAACATGTAAAAGTAAAGAGTGTAATGAACCCTCATGTCCCCATCACCAATTAATAAGTTTGCCATTCCGGTTCCATCAATTTCCCTTTTTCCCATTCACAGATTACATTGTAGCGAGAATTCTCCAGTCCAAGTAACATTCACATATATTCCCCTCTGCCCATTAAAATCATAGTCACTACTTAGGGAAGATGATAATGATCACAATTTATGATCTTTCTTTTAAGTCCTCTTAGCAGACATTTTCAAATGAATCGTCACTTTTAGATTGAGCATTTTCATGATTTATTTTGTTTTTGCCTCAGTGGAGGAGTAAATATGAGGAACTGGATTAAGGAACATATACCTCACAGCCTGTGTCTGTCAAATGCCAACTAAGGATTCTGGCTCTATAGTGTGACATTCATCAAATCACCTTAGTTCTCATCTATGAAAATGACATTAGATTATATGGTCTAAGTGTCTTAGCTTTAAGCATTCAGTAGTTGAAAGTTTGAGTTGAATTTTTCTTTTATAATTTAGCATTTTAGCAAAATTCAGTATGTTGATTTAGCTTCAAATGAGGAAACCTGAATGATTTTCAGAATGACGTGAATTTCTAATTTATCCATTATGAGAAAACTTTTTCTCTCTAGGATGAGAGAACGAACATGGATGAATGTGTTACTGTTTGCTTTTCTCTAGAGAGCCTCCTTTTCACCTGACCAGAAGAGGCTGGGGTGAATTTCCTGTCAGAGTTCAAGTTCACTTTAAGGACAGCCAGAACAAGCGGATAGATATCATACATAATCTGAAGGTATTGTAACAGAACATTGCTTCCCAGAAGTGAAATCTGTTTTTACCAGCTATTTGAAGTGGTAGTGTTAGGTCTTCTGAGAGAAGTGGCCATGGATAGTGGAAGGAGGATAATTTTTTTGAGTGGTATTATGCCTATTTCTACAACACTTCTTTGTTCTCTGAAGGTTAAGGAGGAGTCACTTTACAGCACAATGTATGTTCTTTAGAAAAATGAACTCACTGGTCAGGTAATCAGAAGACTTGAATCTATCAGACCTCACCATTAATGTTGAGGCTTGGGACTGTTATTGCAATCTTTTTTTAAAAATCTATTTACTTTTCTATAAAATAAGGCAAATAATAATCCTTGTCTGTTTAAAGGATATGTTTATCTCATAAGGATAAAGATAGAAGTAAACAGGTTTTGGAAATTAAAAAGTACTAAATAAGGTTGTAACACTTGAAATCCTTCGCTGATATATTCCCGTGGTTTATTATGCAGACATTACAAATTATTTTTTATGAAATATTTTCTGTACATGGGGAAAACTAGTATGATAATAAGTGAAAAGCAGAATGTTAAACTGCATGCATGTGAGGTCAACCACGATTTCAAAAAGGTAGAAAAAATACTGAAGAAATATACCAAAATATTGGAGTAATTGAAATAATGACATTGTGGGCAATTTCCCCTTCCCTTTTTTGTTTTTTAAAATATTTTTGCAGTTTTATATAACAAACATTTAACTTTTGTAATTGGAAGACAGACTATTTCTTAATGCCTGCCTAAGCCCTCTTTATAGTAGGTTTCATATACATATTCTGTGATGCAATTCTAATACTGTACATCTTCCAATGCACCTCTACTTTTTGGTTTATTACATTGTTCCCATTAATGGTTCCCAAAATTGAACTAAATAAAGCTGAGTACATCTGTAGAATTCCTTTTTCATTTTTTTCCTTTGTTCTACAAATGTACCTCTTTCAACCTTAAGTTATGCCGAAACTTGCCTTCCATTGATGATAGATGGCACTGCTTAACTTAATGTTTAAGTTATTTTCTAGAGATTGCTGTAAGAATAGATTGTCTTCTGACCTCAGAGAAGAGCTGAAACCAAATAAAGAGTATACAGCCACTTTGTTCAGAAGGGTAGAATACTGTTCCATTACTTAGAAGAAGGTCTAAAATAGTTTTTGTTTTTCCTTTTATCTTATTTTAAGCATCGCACATACCATCTTATGTTGGGCTGGGCTTAGCCCTAATCCCTAAAATAAAGGGAATTGTTTACATAGTTCTCACATATTATATTGTGCATATCATTAAAGAGTTCCTGGTGGAAGATTATATGAGACAGTACTTAAAAATGACAGTAAAGTATTTCTTATCAGTTTTTCTGGAAAACAAAATTTTACTATTTTGTTCTGTGTTGGCCTTGAGACAGACACCAGTGTTGATGCCATGTGACTTTTAGTTGTACTGGAGTATCGTTTTCCCTGTCATTTCTGGGTTAACTCTCAGAGCCATCTTTGATTCTTCCCTCTTTGTTGTAAATATTTGTTCAGTTGCAGCTCATTATTCTGTCTTCATAATCTTTTTTACATTCTACCCTCTGTCCTCTGACTATTGCTAGGCTATTATTCTACTGTCTCCTGATCGGCTTCTTTAATCCATCCCCCCCGCACTATTCAGGGCTCTTCACATGTTGGCTCAACATATTTCCCTAAATTATCCCGCACTAATCCCCTGCTTGAACATCCCACTCCAATGGTGTCAGTCTATTCATGTCCTGGAAATGCCTTGGGCCTTCTTCCCATGTGTCTTTTTTTCATGCTCTTCCTCTCCTGGAATGCTTGTTTGAATTCTTTCCATTCTTCAAGTTACTATGTAACTTTTCCTGGCTATTTAAGCCCGCAGTAAACTCTGTATTCTGAAATTCTGTAGTACTTAACAATGTATATTGTATACTGTAAATGTTACATTAAGTATTAAATACTTTCAGTGTTAGAGTTTTGTTAAAGTTCCTAAAATGTGTGAAGTTTCCATATCCTGCATCTCTGACGGGTCGTCATTTAACCTCTCCCCAATCATCACCATGGTGCGCAGCACCTCCCAAGACAACAGATTGACCCATTTAGTAAATAGACTTTTGGAAGGTTTGTTCAAAATTTACCTAAAACTGTGGTTGTTAGAAAAAAAAATCTTGCTTCCATTCATCCTGTTTGATTTCTGAAATAGTACAGAACAAGACTTTGTTTTATCATATAAGAATGCTAAAAATGTTTGATGACAGGCTTCATGTCTCTCAAGTCATTTCTTCTCCAGGCTAAACCTATTCCTGTAACATTTCTTGTATGCTTTATTTTTGAGATCCTCTTGCTGTTTTGATAACAGGTCTGTTTTATCAATGTCCCTCTTACAATTTGGTCCCTAGAATGAAACATGCCAGTGCAGATTACAGAGAGACTGTTATTTCTGTGCTCTGAAAGATGAGAAAATGGATGTAACTTAAAATTGACTATATCTTTTTAGCAGTCATACTGTTGTCTGACATTTAAATTTTAAAACTCCAGATCTCTTCAGTGGAACTACTATCAATCCATCCTGTGTTTATGAACACTAAATCTCATGACTGGCTGAGTTGTTCTCTCTGTGTTGGCTAGTGAGGAACTCAGCCAGACTTGATGTCTACCTCTTTGCAAGCCTTTAAAACCTTGTATTTACTAACCTATTGCTGGCTTATTTTTTTTTTCCTCTATTTTTCCTTTCCTTTCTTCCCAGCTTAACCATTTTTTACCCATTAATCTTACTGTAAAATGTTTATATTGGTAAGCTATCACAAATCCTTTTTTTAAAATGGTAGGGTATAAATTTAAAAACAGGAATAAGATACTTAACCTCTTTCTATGTAATTGTAACCTCTTTTGTTTATATTATTAACATTCCCTCAGTTTATACTTCTTTGTTCAAAAATGGATTGTTCTTTATGCCAAGATTTCAAATAATTAGCGTTGCCTGTACTGCCTAGGTTATCATTCTTTTTTTTTAGAGCTTTGTAAATATACCCTAAATATATAGTGGCGTTGTTACACTACATGTGTATTTTTATAGCTGTCATTTAAAATATTTTTACACAGTCTTTGTAAACATCATCTAAGTGGCTGCATAATACTTTATAAATTGATGGCCCATGGTTTGCTTAAGCATTCCTCTCTTACTAGACATTTATATTGTTTTTAGTTTGTGGTTATAGATAATGCTGCAGTAAACATCTTTTTTGTGTAAAATTTCCTCCATTGTTAGATTGTCCTTAGAATAATTTTCTAAAAGTGTATAATTAATGTTAAAACATGTAATTACTATATGTCCGAGGTTTTTATTTATTTTACTGAATTTTTTTCTCCCAGAAAATTGAGGATTTTTGTTGAAGTGATGAATTAATAGTTTACATTATGAAAAAGTAGATTTTATGGTATGAAGACTTGTGGTGAAAGGGATTTTAGATAACATTGTATCCTAAGATTTTTAAGTAAGTACAATAAAATTTAAGACTCTCCCTTTTGTCTTTCAATAGCTGGATAGAACTTACACTGGCTTACAGACTCTTGGAGCAGAGACGGTAGGTTTTTTCTACAGTATTATTTGGGAACAAATAGGATAAAAATTGGTTTTCATTTTTAATTAGGAAGAAAATGAGTGTTCGATTTTTAAAAAGCTGATCTCTCCCACCCCATTTTTTTTGTTTTTATAATTGTGGTTAAAAAACACATAACATAAAATTTATCATCTTAACCGTTTTTCAGTGTATAGTTCAATGGCATTAAGTACAAGGTACTTCAAAAAGTTCATGGACAGATTTGTATTATCTTTTACTTTTGTTTTTTCATGAGCTTTTTGAAGTACCCTCGTACATTCACATTGTTGTGCTGCCATCACCACAGTCCATCTCCGGAACTCTTTTTCATCTTGCAAAACTGAAACTCTGTACCCATTAAACAGAAACTCCCCATTCTTTCCTCCTTCCAGCCCCTGGCAGCCACTATCCTACTTTCTTTTCTTTTCTTTTTAATTTTATCATTACAGAATGTAAACATTTTTTGTGGCCTTTTACCAATTTCTCCCTAATCACCATTCTACTTTCTGTCTCCATGAATTTGACTGCTCTAATACCTCATGTAAGTAGAATCATATAGTATATGCCTATTCACTTAGCATAATATCCTCAAGGTTCATCCATATTGTAGCATGTGTCAGAATTTCCTTCCTTTTTTTTTGTCTTTTTCCGTGTCCGGCAACGGATCGCAACCCTCAGTGTCGCCCCCGCACCGGACCAGGACCGGCAACGGGATCGCAACCCTCGGTGTTGCTCCCGCGCCTCGCTCAGCCAGTGAGCGGGAACCGGTCTGTATGTGGGATCCGAACCCTCGGCGGGAGCGCCACCGCGCTTCCCAAGCAGCGCACTATAGCAGTGCGCCACCGGGCCGGCCCGAATTTCCTTCCTTTTTAAGGCTGAAAAATACCACATTGTATTTTGTTTATACACTTATCCATCAATGGCTGCTTGGGCTGTTTCCACCTTTTGGCTACTGTAAATAATGCTGTGAACATGGGTATACAAATATCTGATCAAGTTTCTGCTCTCAATTATTTGGGGTATATACCTGGAAGTAGAATTGGTGAGTCATGTGGTAATTCTATTTTTAGTTCTTTCCATGGCAGCTGCACCATTTTATGTTCTCACCAACAGTGTACAAGTGTTCCAATTTCTCCACGTCTTCCCCAACACTTCTTGTTTTCTGGGGTTTTTTGTTTTATTTTGTTTTTGTTTTTTTATAGTAGCTATCCTAATGGTTGTGAAGTGGTATCTTTCCTGGATGCTGAGTGATGTTGAGCATTTTTTCATATGACTGTTGGCCTTTTGTATATCTTCTTTAGAGAAATGCCTGCTTAGCTCTTTTGCCCATTTTTTGATTGGGTTGCTTGTTTTTTTCTTGTAAAGTTGTTTGAGTTCTTTATATATTCTGGATATTAGTCCTTTGTTGGATGTGTATTTTGCAAATATTTTCTCCCACTCTGTTGGCTGTCTTTTAGCTCTGTTAATTGTTTCTTTTGCTGTGCAGAAGCTTTTTAGTTTGATATAGTCCCATTTGTTTATTTTTCCTTTGGTTGCCCATGCTTTTGGGGTCATATTCATGAAGTCTGTGCCCAGCCCTATTTGCTGAAGCAGGAGATTGAAACTAGACCCATACCTCTCACCATATACTAAAATCAACTCAAAATGGATTAAGGATTTAAATATACACCCCGAAACAATAAAACTTATTAAGATAAGTCCTTTAGTTCTTGAGACTGAAATTGCCTTGGAAGTGTCATTAGAGTATTGTTTTTGGACTGGACCTGAGCTTTCTGTGACATTGATGGCAGATTCATGAGTCCAATTATTGCCCCATTGTATAGGTAGTGGATGTTGAACTCCATCGGCATTCCCTTGGAGAAGACTACATTTATCCTCAGTCCTCCGAGTCAGACATCTCTGATGCCCCTCCATCTTTGCCTTTGACCATTCCAGCCCCAGTGAAAGCTTCTTCACCAATAAAGCAGTCACATGAGCCAGCTCCTGATACCTCTGTGGAGAAAGGTAATGCAGCATTTTTCCTTGTATGGAGTCATTCTGGGGCATTCCTTTTCTCATTTGTGTAATATGATACTGAACTGCCTTCAGAGTCCTAGAGTGTATGGAAAATAAATTTTCCATAAATAAGCATGCTGCCTCTACCACACAGTTCCATGATGAAAATAGCCAAATCTCTACTCAGAAAAAATTTTTTCCATAAAGTTCTACCAACATTTTATAAAATGCAAAAGACAGTAAAAAGCATTAGATTTTTATTCTTTGATAATTATAATGGTTTCTTCTAACATTACTGGAAGACTTTCTGGTTCAGCCTCTGATTGTGTGAATAAGAAACTTGAATATTAAATATCTAATCTTATAGAAAATAAAATAAAAGACTCATCATTAATAGATGTATGTTGACCATGGTGATTTTTTCATTTAATAAGTGTATAAATATGTATTTAAATATTTACATGTATAAGCATATAAGGTATAAAAATGATTCCAAATGCTGATAATTTCCTAAGTCAATACTTTAAGTGTTCTGTTACTTTTAGTTCTTTTATAAAATCTCAACTTTTTTCCTCCTTAATTTCAATTGCATCTTCTTTATGGGCATTTAATAAGATAGGAAATGTTAGATTAAGTGAATGCTTTCTTTTTGAGTTTTTCCTCACCTCTAAACAGTTTTTTGATTCATTTATTAAAAATGGAGGAACATAATGAACATGTATTCTTTGGGCCGGCCCGTGGCTCATTCGGGAGAGTGTGGTGCTGATAACACCAAGGCCACAGGTTTGGATCCCATATAGGGATGGCTGGTTAGCTCACTGGGTGAGTGTGGTGCTGACAACACCAAGTCAAGGGTTAAGATCGCCTTACCGGTCATCTTTTTTAAAAAAAAAGAACATGTGGGCCAGCCCGGTGGCGCACTGGATAGTGCGCCGCTTGGGAAGAGCGGCGGCGCTCCCGACCCCGGGGTCGGGGCCCCCCACCCGAACCACTCCCACCCCCCCGCCG